GGATGCCTTCCTATGGCAGTGAATAACACGAATTGATGCGAAACACACTCGTACACTCTCTCACAAATCCTTTTCTTGTTCTTCTTCTCTTCGCTATTGATAGTGGCACGGCAGAAGAAGATTAGCTAGCTGATCGCTCCTCTAGTATCACCGTCTTGCCGTGCCACTATTAATAGCAAAGAGGAGAAGAACAAGAAAAGGATTTGTGAGAGAGTGTACGAGTGTGTTTCGTATCAATTCGTGTTATTCACTGCCCTAAGAAGGCATCCTCGCTGCCGAAACGTCACTAAGAAAGATAAAATACAAAGAAGGAAGACCCATTGTCTCTAACAAACTAAAATGACCTTCCTTTTCAACCGAAATCAAGTAATTGGGATGTATTTTCGTGCATAGTTGTAATGAAACGAGTTATGGAAAGGAGAAACCACTTCTAATTATAAGGCAAGCTACTTAGGGAACCTTGTATAGCAAAAGAATCTTGACGGAGGAAGTAGGATGTTGGCGGTTGATTAGCCAAATTGTGGCAAGCATCGAAACAATTCACAAAATTTGCCACCTTTTCGAAAAATTCCTATCCTATTTGCGAGAGAATTTGTACCTATTGATGAAGAGTTAATGGGAAAATTGACTGTTTTTGAAAGCTGGCACGAAAGGAACAAATGAATTCCTGTTTTCGTTGTTGGCAAAAAATAGATTGCCGAGTCATAAAAAACAGGGTAAGCTCAGGTATGAGTGGAGAAGAGACGAACTCAACCCATACTCTCAAATGAAAGAGCTGTTTTGCTACTCTATCCGCCCATTTGATTGCGATTGAGATTGAATGTCGTCAATCACTGTGTGAACTAGATTCTGTGCGATAATCGACCTAAAACGGAGGAAAAAACAGAGCAGTAGAGTCGATCAGGGTTCATCTGAAATTTGTCAAGTGCTACGAAAAAATTCTTTGATTGAATGTAGCTCATGAATGGCATAGTCAATAGTTGCAATGTAGAAGTTAGTGTTTCGAAACAAAACGAGGAAACTCTGGGAGTAGATTAAATCTCTATGATACTTGAGATACGGAAGAGTTGGTTCGCAGAGATACACGATACGAGAGAGAAAGAAACGCAGCTACACTCTAAAAAAAAATCGTTTTTTTATCGAACCCCCAAAAAAGGTTCCGGAGATGTCTAAAAGCGTCCAAAGATGTCCAAAGTCTCAAAGAAAGGATAAAAAAATCTACGAAACCTTTAAAGGTTCTTACCGTGTACCCAGGATAAGAACCTTTTCCTGCGAAACCTTTTTTTAAGTTCCGTACAGCAGAAAAAGGTTTCGTAGGAAAATACGAAACCTTTAGAGTTTCGTATTAAACTCTACAAAATCATGAGGGTTTAGTACGAAACTATTAGGGTTTAATATGAAACTCTAAAGGTTTCGTATTTTCCTACGAAACCTTTTTCTGCTGTACGGAACTTAAAAAAAGGTTACGCAGGAAAAGGTTCTTATGCTGGGTACACGGTAAGAACCTTTAAAGGTTTGGTAGATTTTTTTATCCTTTTTTTGAGACTTTGGATATCTTTGGACGCTTTTAGACATCTCCGGAACCTTTTTTGGGGGTTCGATTAAAAACCGATTTTTTTTAGAGTATAGTCCTGCATGCAGTCTTCTTTGCATGCTTTTCAAAATAAGTACTTCAGGAACTGCAGTGGCAAGTCTCCTACAACTCAAGCATTGGTATAAGTACTTGAAGAAAGTACATGCGTGCATTGCTAGCTATGCCTAATCATCAAACCTTTGCTGTTGAATGTTTATTGAAAATTGAAGTACGGGACAAAAGTTTAGAGCATCTTGTTTCGGGGCGAGGGTATGTAAAAGATAACTAAATACAGTGTCCTAACATTTTTAAACATTTTTCTACTATTGCAATTTCGGCCCAATTAGCTTTCATACATCAAGCCTAGAAATTCCACCATAGTACTCCATTAAGCATAAATTGAATCGAGGTCCTGTAGAGATCCAAAATCTGAACAGACAAAAATATGGAAGAGAAATCTGTTGATATAATATAAAAGTACCCCCCCCCCCGCTCAATAGAAGGGCTTGTCGAATAACAAAGCGTCCCCTAATTGCTTGGGCCTCATATGACGTACATGATTGCTTTCCTCTTTCTTACAATTCGACTTGCAGCAGCAATGACTGCCTTTCTTTCTTTTGAATGTACGTGTATGCGCATGCCTGTGTCATAGATTTTTCCTTTAAAATATCAATGAGATAATATATCACTGATTCACTTATCAGTTATAATCCAAGCTACTGATCGGTCGATTGATATAATGTTGTTTTGCTTTCCGCGTTTGCATTGGTCTATACCAACTGATTTGTGAACGTAAACAATGTCGAAGTTTCACCTTTCGATAACCGAGACATTCAACAAGAATGATTATTCACCGTCGTCATCGGACGGTGTTAATATTGAAGTGACATGGGCAATAGACAAATAAGACAATGAGTAGGCCAAAGCAACACTTATCTTTGTCTGAATGTGGATGATAGTGACGATATCGACAATATCGACGATGAAAATATAAAACATCTAATCATGAACGATTCGAAACCGACCAATCAAGAGCGGTCGTTTTTAAATCAGAAACGGCTCATAACATGTCGGTTGAACTCAAGCCGAAGCTTTCCGGAGGCTAGTTGAGTACGACCAGGTTCAATTTGACCATAGTTTTGTTTTTCACTATTTGATGAGTCTCGCCGACACAGATTTTGTTACAATCGATTTCTGACAAGCCACTGGTCAAACCCGATGGAATTTCCATCGCACTGATTTGTACACTTCCCGTGACCAATTTTGTCAGCTGCCGAACACTCCGATCATGACATTTTTCAGAGGCCCTCTCTTCAAGCCATTTTTTGCCCAATTTCTTAGCATTTCTTGATCGTATCTTGTGGACAATGTCCAGAAAGCTTGAGTTGGTATCGAAGTTCTAGACTCTTCATTCTGGCCGGTTTTCATTATTCGCCAGAAAGCTATTGAAGGATCAGTCAAGGAAATTTCGCTTTGAATCATGGCTACTTCCACTTTCTAGATCTCTTCACATGTCTCTATCAGAATATTGCCAGAATCACTTTCATTACATATTTTGAATTGCAATTTGGGTTCGTGTCACCATTTTGCATGAGTTACATCAGGATTTAGATGGAAATAAGCCAAAAAAAATTTCCATATTTTATTATTCTGAATAACTCATTCTGTGGATATGGAATAATATTAAAAGTGGGCTCTGCTTGTAGTTCGTTTGGAATAGAAAATATGCATAACTCGAGTACATCTTCTTAAATACACACGAATGCTGTCAAGTTGATATGCGATTAACTCGGCAAAAATAAGGTTACTAAGTGGTAGCACGAAATATATATGTCATTTAATTTGAAATATTCAAACTCAAGCTACATACGTAGTAGCTTCAATGTCAAACGATGACATGAAAAATGAGTGTGAGTAAAGCCTGATATCGCATCAATAATCTATTGAATACTATAGAACATTCCTATGGCTGTACTCTGCGAAGGATCGTCACATTGGAAGGTGCCCTTTTCCTCTTATATAGGACTCATTAGCATAAACATGACGAATTTTTCAAATCAATCTGAAATGAGTGCCATATGGTAAGTTCTCTGAATTGAAAGAAATATCCGAATTAAATAAGCATATGAGAGCAGCCAAGTTGAAACCTACTCAGATTATGTTCTGGCTCATTATTTCTTTTTTTTATGTTGGATAAAAGTAAGTGACACACTATTCATAGAGATAGACGTTCAAACGATAATCTTATTTCAAAATATTCAAGCCAAAAGAAGGAAAACAGCGGAATCTTGTTTATGCCTAAATCTTCAGTTTTCATCTATAGATTTTTCTGAACAAGATCAAGATAGACAATTGGAAATAATTCGTGATCTATCTATTCCGTGAAGAACCGTAGAACACAATTTCTCTAGAACTGCTCAAGATTCAAGTACAAATGGCACATCCACGCTAAACATCTAGACAATGGGACTGGCCCTGAAATTTTCTAGAGCAGGCCTCGTCGAACGACTTTGAATCGAATCGTATCATTTTCGTACGATCTCTAGTTCGACGCGACAGACTACCAGATTTTATCAAGCACTGGTCTTACTCTTTGATTCTTTTTTGAAGCTTGGGTTAACATGTAAGCACCATCATAAGTGAATTTGTTCGAACATAAATCTAGTTCATTTCATTGTTCTTGTATCAGCCCTTCGTTAGTCACTCCTTGTATATGTGGATCGGTCAAATTATTTGAGCTATAGAGTAATTTTGCTTCAGGTATTGGTAGAAAACGTGGTAGGATAAAAACCAGTGGAAATAAAGGCTCTGTTTCTTTGATGTGACCGATGTGTAAGTAGTTGACAATTTCATCGTTTCCAACGACTTTGAATTAACAATCAGGCACGAGAAGTATTTTCTCTTCGTCCAGATAGAATAAATGGCGCTGAATATTTTTGCCATTGGTAACACTCAATGTTGAACAGCATTCTCAAACGACTTTTAGCTCAGAATTCCTCACGCTCTAGTACTTCCATCGCTATAGTGCACGAGGAGAAACCCAACCATTGGAAAGTAGAACCTTTAGGATATTGGTCTTGTAAATCCATCTTCACATCTCGAAAGACGGTCATGCGCTCAGAATTGCATGGCAAATTGAAGAAAGCACTGACAACCAATTTCAAATAGAGAAGCCAAGGCTTCAGTTTCTGTCGATTTTCGCTTCGTAAGGTTTCATCCAGGATAGTACAGAATGATTTTCCCCCCAAAGACTACTCCAATGTATAGAATTTGGTGAAGGTCGATTGATCAATAGTCAAACCTTACATAGGTTCAGTATCACTATCTTTCACCGTCCAGACCATATGCTGAACTTGAGGCATAAGTGACTCGAGTGGTGCGGCAGGTCTCTTCGAGAGTCGCTGTAGGTTTCACCTTGAATCCTTAAATGGGTGGGAGACGTCAACATGGCTCATCAGGTACTTCAGAAAAGCGAAAGTGCGCTTTGATATCGTCGACGAACTCGGCTACCATGCAGAAGTAGGAAAAGGTTCTTTTCAAAAAAAAAAGAACAACGATACAACTTGTAATAGCATATCAGTGATCGAGAGTTAACACACACAGACTTGATACAAGTTTCGACTCTCACTGCTCATATTGGTAGTTGTAAAAGAATGAAATCTGTGTTCGCTTCACCTGAAAGAATTACTGCGAAGTAAAACGAACGAACCAATTTTTCTCCGTTGGCTAAAATTGCCAGAATCTTCGATTCGCCCATTCTACGACTGCATAGTCAAATAAAAAGATAAGAACTCTCTTGAATTAAAGCTGCCGACTCCTTTTTACCACCAGCGTAAAGCGAGTTCCGTCGAAAAATCTGACCTATGTACCTCTAGAACAGAAGAGATAAAGCACTTTATTCCTACCGTCGTTGAAAGATATCGGTGCAATCTTGCTTCTGTTTCAATAAGGTAAACCATGTGCTTTTTCTGTGACTGATGCGCGTTTCTACATAGCTGAAAATAAGACCATCATCTATCAGCTATTTCTTGCATGTGTACTTATGTAGTCTCAACCACTTTTCTACCAGGGTGTGGATGTGGATGTGTGGGCGTGGATGTGTTCATGGGTGAAAACGAAGCAGAGACATATATCACACATGTATATCCACACCCACACACCCATACCCAGACCCACACATCCACACCCACACCCAAAAAATGGGTGCAGACCATATAAAAGAAATCACGGGCATGCTAAATTGCAAAAAAACAGTGCTTTCTTAGCCGTTTTGAATGGACCAGCAGTTTAAAATGAATTTTTTACTAGTCAAATATTATGATTCATAAAAGCTAGTGAAATTGCAACTTGATGGTATCCACTTTCTTAGTTAATATGATGTTTTCTTACCCTAATCTATACTTCCATAGAGCTCATAAATAATTATTCGCTAACGTTATTCATTTTATTGTTATCTTCGATAGCATGAATCAATAGATCACATAGTAGATTTATTGCAAATGCTACTCATTCATTTAGCTTGAGGCAAAGAATTTCTATGATTTCATAGGACACAAGAATATTTATCTATCTATTGNGTCGATTTATATATGTTGTGAATAATTCTGAAAAAAAAATTTTTTTTTTGAAAAAATCCCTGTACCCCCCCCCTCAGGGATGGTCTTCTCAATAATGACAATTTTTTCGATAACTCAGCCATTTCTTGACGGATCCTGCTCATCTTCGAACTCGACCGAGACATTGTTAAGACTGAACTGCGTGGAAAATTTCATCGTGATTGAACTCTCCTTTCAAAAGTTATCGTGTAAACGGACGGACGGACGGACGGGCGGACGAACGGCCGGACACACTGACCGATTCTAGAGTGTACTCACTTTTTGAGTACAAAAAAAGAAAAAAGAAATTCAATATTAAATATATCTATAGATATTATAATATGGAAGACTATACCAGGCAATTTAATTATTGGCAATCGTTCTGATTCAAATAATTGTGTCACAATTTTGTCATCGGGAATATATGGCTCATCATCAAGTTTTATCCATCCGCATTTTGTCATACTGGGTATAAGAGACCGATGTCGGAATAATTCTAAGAGAAAAAAAGTCAAACCGAATACTTACTTTCTACGTCGAATTGTTTATGCTAACGAATTCTTACTAATAATGCTGTCATTATCTTCATCATTTAAGTTTTCGAATATTTTCCATATACTCTCTGTATACTGATCAGTTCTATTTTCTTTGGAATACTTTTCTAATAATGCTAAGTAACATTTTAAATTTGGTATCGCCGGTATTTATAATATACGTTTGAAAAAATTTTCCAGATCCGGATACAATGGTTTGATAAAATTGTGTTCAGGCAATAAATGCGTTGGATCGTTCCACGCTACTTCATTAATAAGCAAAAGCTGACCAACACATAAATCAGTCTTTTCTGATAAAGGCGAATTAGGCACGAAAACAAGTGGCCATCTCATATATCGTTTATCATTGCTCAATTCATCGTAGAGAAAATTTTATAAACGAGTCATAATTGATATACTTTCAATAAATTTTCGTCGATGTGGTGGTCGAGGTGGAGGGTGTGGGTGTGGGTGTGGGTGAGGGTGTGGGTGTGGGTGTGGGTGCGGGTGTGTGATTGTGTTCAGAAGGATTTATCGCACCACACCCACACCTACACTCACACCCACACTCACACTCACACCTACACGCACACCCACACCCTGCTTTAAGTGGTCGAGGAAATCAAGCATATGTATTAGCATCAGCTTCCATTTATGATGAGTGGATAAGAAATAATTATGAGTTACAAGTTTGGCAAGAATATTTAAAATTACGTATAGAACAAAAACATTGGGCAAAAGAAGTAATACAACGTACAAAAAAACGTGATAATATAATAAATACTAGATTTGTCCAAAAGAAAATCAAACAATTACCAGATGAAATAGCTGCTTTACGTGCTAATATAACTGATTTACAAATACAATTAACAACATATTGGTCGCATACAACAGTTGAAACAACTGCACAAAATTAGCTCATACAACAGCAGAATTAACAGCTAATTTAGTAACAGATAAAATACGTCAAATATCAACAACAAATACTGGTCAAACCACAAGTTTCAGTATTCCATATGCAGCTACAACTGTGTCTGCAATAAAGAATCAAACTCGTGAACCAGTTCATCGGTTAGAAAAACGTCTATTACATTATTTACATAAATGTACTCAACATGTTAAAAAGTTAGCTGAAAATCGTATGCAATTAGCTAAAGCACAAATGGAAGAATATAAAGCTTTAGAAGATTTTCAACAAGTAGCGACACCAATTCATTGGAATATTCATTTAACACTAAAATCTAAAATAAAAACGTGGTCAACAAAAAATAAAAATTATCGAAGCATTACAAAACGTATTGAATTAGATTTACCACCTAAATTTATTTCAAAAATTGATTTTAGGTTTAAAATAGATGAAAGTATTATAAGTCAAGAAGAATCACAAATTTTATATAATCAAATGAGACAAATTACAAAAAATTACCGTGTAGAAACTATGACTTTATATGAGCAAGCATCTGCACGTGAATATGAATTAATAACTAATGAAATAAAATAAACTATTGAAAATTTACCACAAATAAATAATGAAAATGAAATTAGTTTTGCTGCATTTAAGCATTATTTTGATTTACGTGAAAAAAGATTAAATTCAGAAGGTGGAAAATTAATTTATTTTTTATCCGAACAGCGAGTCGAGGGCGACATCGAAAACCTTCAACAACAAGAAGAGGAAATAATACTTGCCCCGACTCCAGTTCGATAGCTGGGCGAGGATTTCTTGCTCCAGCCATTATAAATCAAGCTAATATAAAATTAACTGAAGAAGAACATAATTTACTTAGATTAGGACCAAGAGTTATATATAATAATCCTAAAACAGTAGCTCGACGTCGAATAACTGAATTGACCACACCAAAAAGAAAAATAGAAACTCGATTTTTCGACAAAAAAAGTAAAGCCCGGTCGACCAGTCGAACAATTTATTATTGAATTAGATGTTCTTCTTCAAAATTTGCATAATGTACCAATAAATGATAAAAATAAAAATAAATATGAAAATATAAGTGAATTAATAAATTGACAGACAAGTCAGTTGCAAGTCAATAAACATATCATTGAAGTATTTAATAGTGAAGCAAGTCAATCTCAAAATAATTATCTTTTTAAAGTTAGAAAAAAGAAAAATTATGGTAGATTGATAAAAAGATTGAAATATAAATTTAGGATATCAAATATAATATTACGAAAATCGGATAAATCAAAAGTATTCCATTTAGGTAAATTAGAAGATTATCGTAAAAAATCAGAAGAATATATGGATAAAACTCAAGCATATAAATGTCTTGGAAAAGAAGATTCATTACTCGATTTAATTAAACGAACAAATAAATATTTATTAGATTTAAGATTAGCTAAATGGATTACTCAAAAACAATATGAATTATTAAGTATAAAACCAAATGAAGTTGAACTTGCACATTTATATTCCCTAGGCGAACTTCTTTTTTCATGCACTTGACCTGCGCAGACCTCAAGTTTTGTCCATAGCGCATGACTTTCTTGCTCCAGACAAACGCTTGAGTGTTGCATGAAAATACATCTATGAATTTTTATTAAAAGTTGAGTTGTTNATGAGAAGCGCATCCATGTATATGTATGCTTCAAAACAATTAGGTGAACGACTGGAAACAAGATGTAGTCAATACAAATAATACAGAGACTTCTGATGTTAAAGTAAGAATTAGTGGGAAGAACAAAACCAATTATCGGACGAAGTTAGAAATGAAATGAATGTGTGCGTAAATCTATGTGGAAAGAAAAAATTAAAGATGAAAAGCAAAATTCATAAACGGGTTGAATCGGGTCAAACCGGCGGGTTCACGTAAAAATATAACCCGACCCGAGTAACCCGTAAATCTGGAAAATTCTAACCCGTTAACCCGTGACCCGTTAGAGGTCCAACCCGGCCCGCGGGTTACGGGTCGGGTCGCGGGTCGGGCGGGTTGAAGCAAAACGGGCTAACCCGTCAACATCTCTGGACTAGAGTACATCAGGTTCAAAATTTCCAGACTCGAGTTCGGATTCTAGTCAGGATAAAGAGTACGAGAAAAGTTTATTGTGCACATCCGTATTGTTTTTCCAATGTTTTTTTAGGAAAAGCAACTATTACTTCCTGTAGTGCTGGCGCGCCGTCTATGGTTGAAATTATTGTTTGAGTGTGAGTTAAATGTTCAGTATGACAGAAAAAAAACAAAAATATGTTCCTATATTTTTTGACCAGTATTGTAAATTGATTTACACGTAAGTGAAAAAGTATCCGGACATCTAACTGTATTTTTTTCCTATTGGTCATTTAATCGAACAATGATAAGGAACCGATTGTCTCTTATTTGCGAAGAAATCATCAAGCCTTGATTTTCATATGGAATAAAGTACAAATTAGGAGAAATTAAATGCTGAAGAGAGAATATGTTTGTTCTATTTCTAACGAACAATTTTAATATTTATACAATACGAAGAAAGAATTAATTGGTGTCCGGATACTTTTTTGAACCACCTGGGACTAATTACAATTCTCATAGAATCATTTTAATATAAAAAAAAAATTATTAATAATTTGTATGTAAAAATCTAAATTTATCTTTTTTTAAATATTTTTTTTGTTTTATTTTACAGATTGAATTATTTTCTCGTTGTTTATTTGTATCATGTCAATTCCATTAAATTCAATTGATTGTCCATGTTTAACAAATGATTGTCTTCAGACTCTAATTCAAGAGTATTCAATACATACAACAAATGATTTTGCTTTATGGTTAATAAAACCTCTAGATAAAAATAAACATTTATCATCAAAAACAATTGAATGTATTCAATCATGTATTATAGCTCATACAGCAAATATTCAATATCGACAAATATCTAATAGAAATTTATATAAATTAAATTATTCGTTATTTGATAATGAAAATATATTAAAAACTAAATGTCATTTAATATTTATTTATGAATATTTTAATCAAAATCAATGGAATAAATTTTTTAATATATTTTTACTTCGTTTATTTCTTGAAAATGAATCATTGAAAATAAATTATATAAATACAAATATAAGTTTATTTGATTTAAATTATTTTTATAATCATTATTGTTGTTTAAATGAAAAAATATTTCTACAACGAAATAATTTATTTGAAAAATTCTTTTTTTTTAATCAATGTTTTGATTTAGAAACATTTGAAAATCAATTAAATTCTATTGAAAATAATCAAAATTCATTTCAAATATTAATTATTGATGATTTTTTTTCATTAATTAAACCATATTTAAGTCTTGATAGACGTATGAAAGGAAAAATTCTTCAATTAACATATCGATTAAATCGTCTTGCACAAAAACAATCAATATTAATTATTAATGGAATTATTTTAAATACAAAAAAACGAATAAAAAATGTTCAAGAAAATTTTCTCGTCATAGATGATATACGTTTTGATTCATTTCATGCTGATAAATATATTTTATTTCAATCATTAACAACAATAGAAAAAGATATTTATATTACAAATCTTAATAAGAAAAATCAAGATAAACATTCAATCATATCAAAATTTGATCTTGATGATTGGATGAATACAAATGATGGGTGAGTTAGAGTTCTGTTGAACTAATACGTTAGGATCAGAGGTCTCAATGGGCTGGGCCAAACCCGGCCGGTCCGGCCCATCCAGCCCATGGGCCGAAATTGTAATAGGTACCCATGGACCGAAATGGGCCGAATTTAAAACAAAACAAAAATTATCAAAACTTCTTTCTCAAAGTAAAACTGAAATTTTTTTTGCGAATAATCATCGGATAAAAGCATAATCGTAACTGAAAATCAGACATGTAAAAGTTCTTCATTAATTATCCATGTGATTCTTTATATGTAATTAGCTGCTTTTAAAGCTCTCCTACATATGAGTTAACAGAGTGGCGCCTAACTTTTGTGACTGTCTTCATTTTAGTTATATCGCAGCTAAGTTATTTTAGTTTGTCGTTTTTGCAGACTATATGCGACGAACAGAACATTTTTTGGAAGATTGGAACAAACTGGTATTAGTACCAGCTTGATACTTTCACCTAACGTTTCAATGAAAAATTTCAGATTTTCCGTTTTTGAGTTGCGTTTGACACAAAATGACGACTTGACATATATACGCCTAGCAAGAATTAATTAGAGAAAGAAAACTCGTGACGCCATACGATGAAGTGCTTAGCATCTTAATTACTTCAGTTAACATGGCAACTCAACATATCTGTCTGAAAAGTATCAGTCAGATTAGTGGCCCATGGACGGGCCGGTTTTTTAGAAAAAACCATGGGCTGGGCTGGGCCGAGATTGATAGCCCATGGGCTGGTTTTTATTGGCCCGACCCGGCCCATTGAGACCTCTGGTTAGGATGGAACGAAAGAGTATCCACAATCGATCGACAGATATTACATACATTCCAGAAAACGTCATTTGAAAATTGATTATGACAGAAATTATCAAAGTTTAAGTTAAAAGTTTGGAATAATGATATTTTGTATTTTAAATAATTAGTTGATCTTCTGCAACTAATAATTTAATAATGAAATTTCGATTACAGCTGTTTCCTATGATGCGATAGTAATATTAGATCAGATATTGTCTCCGATGTATATCCTCTTCTTGATGTTCTTTTTCTCTAATACCAAGTCGTCTATAGATATTAGGATATAGAAAAATTGATAGCGACAGAACAAAAAAAAAAGAAAACTACAGAAACAACTTCAACAAGTCTCTATTTTCGAAATAAACGTTCTGATTAATGATATTCGATTACATTTGTTGAATTTATTTATCAAACGTTTTTCTATAATTTTCTTTATTCAAAAAATTCATGAATTGGTTTACAACTATTTGAAATCGTTTATATTTTGTTTGATTAAGTCAAATTAACCAAAAATCATACGATGCCAGATTCAAAGAATTACTTAAGTAAAACCTTGATGAATTTGTTTTTGTTCTATCGCCACTACTTTTTCTATACCCTAATATGTATATGTCTTATCGAAGCTACATAAGTCGACGCAACGTATAGATAGTTAAGCATTAGAGATGAAGAAGAAGAACAGAGAAAATATCAAGAAAAAGATGCACATCATCAACAAAAATATAATCTAATATTAGCTTCAAATATCATAACAAATTTTGTTATGCCGTAAGCAAAAATTTATTTCTATTAAACTTATCACTCGCTTGAAATCGCTTTGAATATTCTTACAATTAATGTGTTCTAGAAGTTTATTTCAAAATAATTGAATAATGATTACTTGAATATTTACTATTACAATTTTGATAATAAAATTAATTTTCTTTTTGTAAACATCAAAAAGTTAGCGAACACATAAATGTGTAGAATATGGGAAGTATTTGTGAATTAAAAAAAGTAATGAATCTCCAAGAAAAAAAACTATGAGACATGTGATAAGCTCAATTAAAACTGCTAGAAAATGATATCGCATTTGTATTACTAAGCGTGAAATGAGAACCAAAATTTTTTTTTTTTTCTAACTAAAACCAAAAACGATTGGTATCATTCATCACTAACTGTCATATCTATTTCTTCTTTTTAGTTCGAAAATCTCTAATTACTGATTGTTGATATTCAATTTTATATAAACTTGTCAGATAAGTACAGTGAATTATTGAACAGTACAACAGATAACATATTCTTTTTTTTTTTTTGCCGTAATAACTTAAAAAGACAATCCAAAGATCATAGGATTTTATTTCAGATTTCTTTTGTTTTAATCTATCAAAATGATTTTATTATCACAATTGAAACTTGGCTTATCATCTAGTTTAATTAAGGAAATGTTTCTATCACGTATTCGTACAATGAGTACTATCTCAACAAGTTCTCATAATAAACAACATGATAAAACTGAAGTAAATACAGGAATTCTTCTACTTAATATGGGTGGACCAGAAACAACTGATGATGTATTTGATTTTCTTAATCGTCTCTTTTCGGATAAAGATCTTATACCATTACCTGCACAAAAGTATGTTTTTATAATTCAATAGAATTTTATTTAATTTTCTGTTATTTATTTTAAGAACATTAGGTCCATGGATTGCTCGTCGTCGTACACCAAGTATTCAAGAACAATATGCAAGAATAGGTGGAGGATCACCAATTAAAATGTGGACAGACAAACAAGGTCAAGGAATGGTTAAAATTCTTGATCAAATATCTCCATCAACAGGTATATATAAGAGAAAAAAAAAATGTTCTTTTTTTTGCATAGAAATAAAAGTTTTATTTTTTGTTTTTAGCACCTCATAAATATTACATTGGTTTTCGTTATGTTAAACCATTAACTGAAATGGCTATAGATGAAATTGAAAAGTACGAATTCTTGTTTTGTGTTTTAAGATGATGGAATGATTGATAGCTGTTGAAATTAGTCCTCTAGAGATATTTAATTTCTTCTATATCAAACTATCATTTTCAAGAGCTTCAAAATAGTATAAAAACATTGAGGAAAACAGTAGATTTTGATGAGAAAATTACGATTTGGAGTAAAATCTAATATAATATTCTTAAAATGAGTGAACTTATGTATATTTCAAATATTTTGACAAACGATTTTTTCGTTGACAAATTCATCCCTGGTTCGTCTCAGGATTGCTCCAAAAATTGACAGTGAAAATAAAGCTATCAGTTTACATGACGATAGTAGAACTTCGATTAGTAGATAAATATTTCAACGAAAAAATAAAGTTTGTCAAAGTATATGTAAGTCTTCCCATCGTTTTTTGTATAAAATTTTAAATAAAAATTAATTTTAGAGATCGTCCTAAACAAGTTATTGCTTTTACACAATACCCACAATATAGTTGTTCAACAACGGGTAGTAGTTTAAATGCTATTGCAAAATATTATGCAGAAAAAAATGAGAAATTAAGATTAGAAAAATCAAATAAAATATCCTATTTTGATGAACAAAAAGATGTTCAACCAATAAAAGATCTTAAATGGAGTGTTATTGATCGTTGGCAAACACATCCTGGACTTATTGAAGTACGAAAAAAAAATAATTGTAAAAAAAGAAAAATAACACAAAAAAAATGTATTTTCTTTTTCAGGCATTTACTGAAAATATTCGTAATGAATTAAACAAATTTCCAGCACATGTACGAAATGACGTTGTGATTTTATTCTCAGCTCATTCATTACCAATGACAGTAAGTTATTAAATGAAGTTTCTTTTTGTTTTTAATTGATTATTTAGGTAGTCAATCGTGGTGATCCTTATCCAGCTGAAGTCGCTGCAACTGTTCAAGCAGTTATGGAATCATTAAATTTTTCAAATCCATATAGACTTGTTTGGCAATCAAAAGTATATTATTTATTATGAACAATCAAAGAATAATTTAGATGATATTTTTGAAATTTTAGGTAGGACCTTCAGCATGGCTTGGCTGTGCAACTGATAATGCTATTAAAGGTTTAGCTAGAAATAATCGACGTCATATTCTTTTGGTGCCAATTGCATTTACTAGTAAGTATAAGAGGTCGTAATTTTTTTTTTTGTTTTTGAAATTAGTAATAATTTAATATTTGAAAGAAGTAAATGATAAACATTTTAATCTTTAGTTCATTCATTGCATAGAACAGCTGATTCTTTACAAAATGAGGCACCTTCGAGCTCTCCAAGATATTTTCTGACTGAGTAAAATACATTTTTAGAAAATGATGAAAAAAATATTTTTTGAGTGTTTTTTTAATATCGATATTTTTCCGTGAAAAAATATTGTTGAGGGCTCGAAGATGCCTCATTTTGTAGAGAATCTGTTGCTTCGTGTAATCAAAAGAAACTTTTATTTTTCGAAATACTACGAATATTTTATTTCCCTTAAATTCTTATTGGATACGATTTTCTCTATTCGAATTCTTCATAAGAATTTTCATTACGGAAAAAAGATTGAAATAATATCTGTGTTGATTAGTTCTTCGAGCGACTGTATTCTTGGGAATACAGAGACGCCAGCTTCCACGCTGAATAAAAACAATGATGTTTTTCTCACTAACGAAATAACAATTGAAATGATTTCTTCCAGCAGGCAGTGAATTCGATAGCAAACGATTTTGAACTTTTACCAAGATAACATTTGATTTTTGTATGATTGAAATTTCGTTTTTATTAACACTTTTCTATTCAGAATTGAATTTGGCACTCATCAAGAAAACAATCAAATTTTCATAGAGAAAGTCTGATTTTTAGATTGAAAGATTCTCTATAAAAAATCAAATTTTTGAACTATGCTTTATACTTTCAAGAAAAAGTTCTTTATATGTTATCATTTCACAATAATTTTATATTTCTAGGCGATCATATCGAAACTTTACATGAACTCGATATAGAATATAGTCAACATCTCGCTAAAAGTGTAAGTTAATTTTTGTTTTATTATCATTAATATGTTATGTTAATATGTTTAGGCTGGTGTTGAAATGATTCGTCGATGTGCATCATTGAATGATAATCCTTTATTTATTAAAGTAATATTCGTTTTTATTTTTGTTTAATATTTCAATAAATTTATTTAGGCTATGGCTGATATTGTTTTAAAACATTTACAAAATCAATGTCGTCATACAACTCAATTGCCTTTACGTTGTCCTGGTTGTGAAAATGTTTCATGTGAACGAATGCGACAATTTTTTTGTTCATCTACATGAAAATCTGAATTGATTTTTGTTTGTTTTACTTCTATGCACAAAAAAAAAAAGAAAAAGAAAAACACTAGTTCAATTTTTTTTGATTTATTCATCTTCAATATACAATAAAAAGAAAAAAAAAAAAATCTTTTCAAATATTTTTATCATTTAATTCATATGTTTGTGGTCGTACGTGAACATTTTCTTCTTTACCATAATGATCTTTTTTCCATATACGATGATGAATTGATACAAATGCATATTTATTTATAGGTAATTTTATTAAATAAAGATAATTAATTCCACCAACAATTTGTGTGGAATATTTCTCTGGTTTAAGATCAAATGAATTTGGTATTTTATGAACTTCTTGAAGTTTTTTAAATGTTATATTTTTATACTAAAAACAATGAAATATTATTTTAAAGAGAAATAAATGTAGATAGAATGATTCCAAAAATTGATCATACAGATTTAATTTTTAATAGAGAAAATTTTTTCCCAACAAATATTTCATAAAAATAAAATTCTCACTATACTTTCCTAAATCTAGTTTTTCAGTAATCAAAATACAAATTTCTTTGGATTATATAGAAAGACTGATTTTATACAAAATGATACGTCTATAAGCTCTTCACAAAACGTTTTTGACTGAATAACATCCATTTTAAGAAAAGCATAAAAATCCTTTTTATCGTATAGAAAATGTCGAAAAACAAAACCACTTTGGGAAAAATTTTCTCTATCGAAATGACTATTTAGATTTATTACCCAAGTTATTATTATGAAAAAAAAAATCAATTTTCGGAGTTACTGTAAATAAAATTACATCATTAAAGATTTTTTTATGTTTTGGTTTGATCTCTGTAGTCCATGGTGTATGACCACCCAGAATAATTTGCCTTTGAATAAAACTATACATTAAAAAAAAAAAATAAAAACGATAATTTAATTCTACTTTGCGTTCGTTGAAGTCTTCTCCTTTTTATTAGATGATGGTTTATTTGTCGTAGTATTTTTTGTTGATGCACCATTATTTAATTCAATAAAAAATATTGTAACAATGCAAAATAAAATAAGAAATATTTGTAGTTGCATTATATTGTTATTTCTGATTTAAGATATTCTCCGCAATGAGATATTCTTAATATATCCGACAATCTATTATCCAGATGACAGTTATTTTTGGTTTTTTATTTGTTAGCTATTTTTACGTATATTGACCGAATGAAAGATAATAAGATTATTAAGAATAGTATCAATGACAGAGAAAGAGCTATTTTTAGTATAGATAAATAACCCTATCCGCTTTCTCCGATACTATAAGATATCTCTTGAAGAAACAATCTACTAAACTTAATAGAAAAACTTCTTAATTAATTCATTTCTCAAAAAATTTAAAAGTTTAATTAATATAATTGTAATATTTTGAGCTGAAAATCTTAAAAGACTCCAATCAACATTGTTTGTTTGACTTTTAAAATCTTAAGAATCTTTTACATAATACTTAAAATCATTTTGATGTTGTGAAAAAAAAAAACTTTTTAATTAGACAATAGAAGACTTGAGGTTTCCTATTGCCAGGAGGCGGAAGATCAATTATCAGTGTTAAATCTTTCAATCGACTTGACAGAGTAAATCGTTAGTTATATAGTCAATAATTTTTCAATTTCAATTCTCTTTATTGAACTACGATCTTTGACATAAAAAAAAACGCATATGAAAGTCAATGGAACGTTATAACCAATTAAATAAATGCGAAAATATCGGATTTAAATCCGAGTGTTATGTGTACTTCAAAAAGTGAACAGGTATATTCACTTTGTTTTTTTATCATCTGAGACATATCTAGTCAATTTGTTTTCTTCAAGCAGTTTTTCTGCATTTTGAGACCTTTTTCAGAGGATGTTTTGTTAGAAAGCTACGATTTGGTTCAAAACTAATNCATTTTTCACGGGCTTTCATTTGGTATAAAATTCATGATATCTCCGATTCGAGATCATACTGTTACCCCCCTGGAATAATATTATTTACCACCCTGTATCGCTATTACAGATAAGAATATATTAACATAATGTTAGTCTCAAATAAATATATGGTTATGTTCTTTCTAATATATTGTGAAATAAAACTAAAATTTATATTCGTATTCTGTCAGATATCTCATAAAAATAACTAATCAACCAAAAATCATGAGTAAATTATTATATTTTCATGAGAAGAAGATGAGAAATATGCCGGCAAACTACATTAAGAATGAAAACTCAAACTAGAGGTGTCCGATTAGCATTACATTAATTAATACTTTTTTTTATGCTTTTGCATTAGTGTTTAAAAAATAATTTAATACTTTGGTATTAGTATTAGAAAAGTATTAACCTAACAGTAATGCTTATAGTTCCCAAAGACAGAACAAAATCGTTGCCTTATAGGAATTTTTTTCTCAAAACAGAACAATTTTGTTCTGTTATGAGAAGTCATTGTCAAAAAAAAAAAAAGAACGAAATTATTCTGTCTTTGGGAATTATAAGCATTAGTGTTTTCGTAACACTAATGCTAACCGAACACTCCTATTCAGACTTTATAAGACGAGAATTTCTGAAATTACATTTTTATATCTTCTAATTGCAATTTCTATTTGCGTATTTTCACATCCATTTAGAAACCATTAAAACCAGCTACTTTCATCATTAAAAAAATGCGTTAAGACACTTAGAAAAAACAACTTTTACATCTTGAAAACGCCCAATAATATTTCTCATCATATATTTGACATACAGAACGCAAAAAAAGTGTCACTTCAATCTGCAAAAAAGCATCAAAATATTGTGAAAAAAATATTTTTACACTTTTTCAAAATGTAAAAGCTGGTTTCTTTTCAACAGTCTTTAGACACTTTTTTTTTATGATGAACATACCTATTTACTTTTGATGTATTCTCAATGAATGTAAACACATTTTCAAAAATCTTACCTGCTTATGATATCTATTTACTTTAGAAATGAGATTTTTTTAGTAATGTCTAATCTTTTTTTGAGAAGCTGGTTCTAATCAAACTTCCTTTTTTTTTCATGTAGCTAATAGGAGCGGATTTCAAAGTGTTTTCATGTCACAAGCTTTTCAGAAAACTTAGTGCATCGTGCAAAAGAAATTCCATAGCTTAGTCAAACTCAAATCTTCTTAGTGTTTTTATTCGAATGAATTCGAATCATTACAAATCTAATTACTAATTTCTGTTGGATTGTCTAGCTTTGTAAATGAATAGAATTGAGATTATATGTTTTTTTTTATCTATAATATGACCTCTTATCAGTGACATCTATCGATGCTATTTGCTTTTCTTATTGAGGTTATATTAGTTGAGAAATGGTAGTTGTCATATGGTATTTCAATGAATAAATGATCAAATAAGAAAGATAATTCTTCTTGTTTTTTTTTTAAATAAATTTAACAGATTGTTCTATAGTGTCATTGATTATTAAATTATGACATCTGTTTAAATATTTTCGAAAATATCTGTTGGTTCTGACTTGAAATTCCTTTGCGAATAGTAAATAATCCATATATATATATATAACAATTCTCATGTTTCAGTATTATATATAAATATATTCAAAGAAATGGGTGGATGTGTAAGTCATGATCGAGACAATCATCGACGACGATCACATTCATCTCGAAGTAGTGCAACAAGTAAATATGAATCATGATTTTAATCTATTATTTTTATTTTTCGTTTACTTTCTTCATTTAGCTAGTGGCACTGTTGCTCGAAATAAACCATTAAATCGTTCTACCTGTCATAATAAATGGAAATCAGATGTGCCGATTACTGAAAATCAATTGCGTCGTAAACGAGAAGAATATTGGGATACAGGTGAAAATTTCATAAAAAAAAAATAAATCTATTTTTTGACGTCATTTTACAATCCTATCAATGCATTATATAGGATTACATTATATGTGTCTTATATTCTCAATAGAGATTAAATAGTATAATAATTGAATCTCAAATTTTTACAGTATCTTAAAATAGAAAACGAAAAGAAAACAGTATATTTTAGAAAATATTTTACTCGAAATATATGTCTGATCATTTTTTGTTTTAATAGGTAATTTATTGTAATAGATGATAAGTTGGATTGTATTAGCAAACGATTAAATAAAACAGTTCGAATATGAACTAAAGAGAGAATTTTAATTTTTACATTTGTTTGCTTCAAGTTAGGATCTTTTTCTTTATAAATTTTTCTAATTCGATATTAACTTTAGCATAGATAATTTATTGTAAACACATGAACAGTCATGTTTATTGAAGGTAACATTAGCGAAATTCTTTTTCTTGTTCTTTAAGGTCAAACGAAAATAATGAAGGTGACCACTCTCGAATGAATCTTACTAAGTGATAAATCATTATTGAAATAACTTTGACCTCATTAAATGGGCTCTATCGAGATTAGAGAAAACCTTAAATGATTCATATTCATAGATGGTTTTTCTTTGTCTTGAAAATCAATTTTTGAATTCATTGTAAATGTATATCATCTATCCTCAGATATTAATATTGAATAGTCTGTTATGCGTAAAAGCAAACATTATTCTAATATTTAGATCTCACAATAGAAGATATTGATGTAATGATATCGATTTGAGTCAGTTCAAAACTTGATTTTGAAGACGATCGAACAAAAAACATGTCTCTAACACTAAGACGATTTTTCTTAGAATAATTGAATAACTTGAGAAAAACTTTCAAATCAGAGTAAATTTTTTTTTATAATACTTGATTCTCTATTGATCAAAATTAATTTCTAAATTTTCTGCAAAGTGCAACAAGTTCTAAATAGAACGACCTCTCTAATAGCTATCATGCCGATTTTTTAACCAGTCTATATAGAAACGGAAACGAATAGATGAAACAAACTATAATAAAAAAAAAAGATTATTAGGAAGAACTCTTCTTCTACACTACGTGCCAAAAATATAAAACTACTTTATTGTTCTATACTGCTAAATAGTTAGCTCAAATTCAAATATCGATTCTAATAGCCTAATGCATTCTATAGTAAAAACTATACTTTTCAGGTCCTGAGAGAGATGTGGTTGAAATAATTTTTCGACAATACCACCTTGAAGTGCTCGAAATTTTGAAGAAAATGATGAGTTGCCGCTTTTTCTACGACCTTCCATTAACAAGTTGCAAGCATCACAAAAAAAAAACACATTTTTGATATTTTTCTTATGCTTGTAAAATTTAACCAAAAATGTCATAGAAAATGCGGCGACTCATGACTTTTTTGAAAATTTCGAGCTCTTCAAGGTGACATTGTTAATAACTTGTTTCGCAGGAGCTGAAAAGTATGCTTTATGTTTTTTTTTTAGAAATCTTTTCATCATGATTCATTGATGAAATTTTGCTTATAGAATACATTTGACTATTATAATCACTATTTAGATTTTAGCTAACTGTTTAGCATTATAGAATAATAAAGTGATCTTATATTTTTTATCCATGCTCTAGTTAAATCAATCTCTGTACTTCAACGTGTATTCCATGCGATTAGCAATAATCTAGACAGAAACAGGGGTGTGCACAGGGTGCCCGGGCACACCCCTTGGTCAGGAAACATCTGGAAGAGGGTACGGGTGAAAAATCTTTCCGAGCAACGAAAATTTATTTTGCTGCTGGTGTGCACCTTCCATAATAAGTCGGGCACCTCCCTTAGAAAATTCCTGACTACGCCACTGGACAGAAATGATAATCATGCAAAAGAAAAACAACTTTCATAGATCATTTAATTTCCTGTCAAAAATTCAATATTTATTATCCTTCATACTTCATTTATTCAATTTTCTTCTTTTTCTTATGATATAACACAAAAGTGTACTATTATCTTTCATAACATTTAACAAGTAAATGTTTTCATATTATTTTTTTTTTTTGTGATTATTTTAGCACCTGCTTTTGAAGGTCGTAAAGAAATTTGGGATGCTCTTCGTGGTGCATGTTATGCCATTGAACAAAATGATGTTGATTTAGCTCAATCAATTATAAATTGTGCTAATATATCTCTTCCTCGTGGAACACTTCTTGATTGTTATGATGAACTTGGTACTCGTTATCAATTACCTGTATATATATTATCAGCACCAACAAATTTAATTGATAATGAACAATTATCAAATAATGATAATGAATCTAGTACAAGTGATATTGATCTTGCAGCAACAGCAGTTGTTGATCGTGAACGTGATTATAGTGATAATCATAATTCATCAATAAATAATCAACAACGTCGAATAATAAAATCATCAACAGATGGAATTCATAATCCAATAGTACGTGAAATAAAAAAACATCGTCGAAAACAAAAATCAAATACAGATTCAAATGGTAATGAATCATCATCGAATAATACAACAACAACACCATCACCAATATTAATTAATGATCAACAATCACAAGATATTGAAATACCAATTAAATTTCGTTTATCAAATGGTAATGAACATCGATTATATTGTAAATCAAATGAAAAAATTCGTAATATTAAAAGACGTTTAGCTATGTTAGAAAATGGAGCTATTGATTCACAAACCCAACGTTTATTTTTTGGAGGAAAATTATTACGTAAGTTTATTTATAAATTTAGACATTTTTCATTGTGTTATACGTATTATTGAACTATCTCATCTTCAATTCATTATATTGACGAGAGCTGGACATACTTTTTGAAAAATCTTTTAAGAAAAAACAAAGAAATCTAAATTCAAATATTTTATTTAGTTGTTCCGGAAGTTTACATAAGAAAAAATACCAATAAAAGACAACAATAGACAAATAGAAGTAGAAAGAAAATTTACCGACATAATCTAATATCCGATTGTTAGTGTCAATATACGGCTTTTCAGTCAAATCCTGTAGTTGTTTGTTGAATGCCTCGTGCTATTTTTGCTTCGATGATTGACTGTTAGAGTTAGCATTGATGATACGTGAAGCATATGAGTGTAACCGAACGGGTCTTCTCTTCGCCTACATCTGTCCTTGAATTGATCATTTCGATCGATGCTCAAAGGATTGACTTAATTATTTGAATTCATACGATTATGCATCATTCGTTCACAAAATTGAGATAAAATCTATTCGACAATCATCTATCCGAGATCAATAATAGTTTGAAAAATGAAACAATAAGATTACTTTGACATAATATAATGTTAGTAATAACGTAGTGATTTCTATTCTATGTTTTTATTTTCAGATGATCGTACAGCTATATGTGAAACTCGTTTACAACGAAATTTTGTTGTACAAGTTATATTACAAGATCAACCAATGCCACCAAATGGTGCGATTACAACAACAGGTCATTTAACAACGAATAATCATACTAATTATTCGATACCTGTTGAATTTCCAAATTCTTCTATAATTGAACAATTTTAAAAATGCCTTAAAATAAGACACAAATATCTATGTCTGTCCATTGTAAATTCTTTTAATGCGTTTTTCATACTACTTTGTACAAACGAATTCTTATATATATATATATATATTATATTTTTTCTCTTGTTTTGCATTCTTCTTGAGAATATTTGCAACAATAGCATGAGATTTTTTTTTTTCCTCTTTTGCTTTTGCTCACCGAGTTATTATTATTATAATCATTATTAATCTTTGTATTCTGTTGTTGTCTAAAGAAAAAAAAAAACAGAAAGAAAGAATGACGAGAATATTATTTTGATCAAACTGAGTAAATTTCTTTCTATTTTAGATCGATATTAACATTCGACTTACTTCTTTTCTACAATATTAATAATAATGTCCGATCTGTCCGATCTTGATCGACAATTAGATCAATTAAGACGATGTGAATTAATTAAAGAACATGAAGTTAAAATGCTTTGTACAAAGGCAAGAGAAATACTTGTAGAAGAAAGTAATGTTCAATGTGTTGATTCACCTGTTACTATTTGTGGTGATATACATGGACAAATGTTCGATCTACTTGAATTGTTTCGGGTTGGAGGTAAATTAGTAAATATTTTTCGACATAAATACTTACAAAGAAATTTCTTCATATGTCAAATCAATTTTCGATCGAGACAATGTATAATTAATTAATTTCATTAAGAATTTTGTTTGTACAAAGTTTGAAATCAATATCTTAAGAATGAAGATTTTAAAAAACTAAATTATTCTAGTACTCATCAATTAAACAATATCTCGATTGAACAAATATATGACATCGGGAAAGATTTCTTTGTTGGAATATAAATCGGATTACATTTCTAATGAATACAAAATTTTGAAATTCTAAGTAAAGATAAAATGTACTTTCAATCTTAATACTTATTATTAATTCTATTATTTTCTCTAATAGGATTAGTTCAGAATGTTCTTTTATTTTCTTTTTTCTTTTATGTCAATCAACATTATTTGTCAGTATCAAATTGTGAATCACTGTGATAATTCATATTAATTACGTAGATGTACACGCATATATATATATCTGCTTGAATAAACTTACTATTAAACTCATGATTTTATAAGGTAGAATAGACTGACATGTCAGAATGATTTAATACATTCTTCCGTAAGATTATTCTCCCACGAAATAGATTTTCTGATGAATACTTTTTTGTTTTTGTTTTGTCAATCCACATCGACTCTTTGACATGTTTTATTAAGATCTACAACATTAATCTTATAAAAGACGTTTGTTATGGTTTAGTTTAGCTTTCAAGACAAAACTTTCTTTATGTCATTAATAATGATTCTTTTTCTTTTTGTTTCTAAAACAAAAAACTTTATAAATCTTCTTATCTAGTTGTCATAAAGTGACAGAAATTTCTATTAATAAACTCCTTTTCTCTAATTATATTATAGCATTACATATGTATTTATAAACATAATATCTGCTCTTATATTTGAGATAGAAATAGAAATTCAAGAAGTTTTAATTAAAAAGCTCATATTCTTTGATAAAAGGATATTATATTTTTCTTTTTTAATTGATCTTATGAAGACTAGAAAAAAAAAAGAACATTAATTCAAGTATTTATCAAAAGGATTTGATAGATTATAGTACAAATAATCAATGTAAACTTATTATTTTTTTTAGTAAAGTGAATTGTAAGGCAAGAATTTTTATCTAATAGAAAAAAAAAAAAGAAAAAATTACTTCTTTGTTTATCTTTTTCTTATGAATAATTTACTTTCTAAACAAATGAACTTAGCATGTGTTCCAGTATAAGGACAAAACTATTCGTAGACAATATGATTTCGCAAAAATGAAAACATGTGTATCTCAAAATTGTATAAATTATTTTTGTATATTACATCTATATTAAACTTTCTAGATAACCTGAAAAATCAGCGTTAGTAATATGACAAAAAAAACTCATATTGACTTTCACTTCATACAAATTAATTTAAACAAAATTCGTATTTAAGTAACGTTTTTGAAAATTATATAGGAGATTCTGTAGACAACTCATGGAGCTATTAATTCTCTATTGAAAGTTTTTCCTCAGCATGCCTATATTTTTCTTAAAAGAAAACGATTTCATTTTCATTAGCGACGTGATAGATTAGAAACAAAATTATGCTGCAAACTTCACTAAAGATGCAGTTCGTGTCATAGAGTTTATCCTAAAGTTTTTGACTTTTTTCTCATTATGATTAGAAAGATATTTGCTAATTACTTTTTTTTTTTTGATTAATTAACTCCTTGAAAACACATTTGCTGTAGAAATAAATATAAATTATTGAAACTTATGAGACCATGTACATATATATGAACGGATGACAAACAGAATTAGAATGCACTAGAAGATAGCGAACTCATATCGAAGATAATAAGGATACTCGATCAGAAATTAATAGTAGGTGTCATCATTAATTGAAAACTCAAGGAAACAGTATAGAAGTAATAGGTCTCATTTCAGGAAGAAAGACAATGAATGAGAATATAATACAAATTGATAGTTTCATGATATATTTGAAATAATGGACCCATAACCTGTTGAGTTGTATTCGTTATCAGAATATCATAAGAGACTAATGACGTAGTCACAAGGTAATTGAAGAGAGATAAGCTTCGTCATGTATCCTACTGAAAAAAAAGGACTTTAGCCCCATAGTAGAGATTTATCTCCACTTGTTATGTCCCTAGTAAAAACTTTCGAGTTAAGCCATTACAAGAGACATACGGAAGTTAACTACTAATTGAAATCAGAACTGAAGTATATATGTGTATTTTTCGTTCTGATGGGATTAACTGGTTGTAATTAATTAACTAATTAATATTCAGAAAAATAATCCTTGTAAAAAAATAAAAATCAAATGGCAGGTGGATATGTTTTTGTTTTGCTTGAAATAACCTATATATGAACTATATGAATAGACTTTTTTTTTTAATTTCTAAAATCTGAATTTCTTATTTATGTGATTTAAGGTGATGTTCCACAAACGAATTATTTATTTTTGGGAGATTTTGTTGATCGTGGTTTTTATAGTGTTGAAACATTTTTATTATTACTTGCACTTAAAGTTCGATATCCTGATCGAATAACTTTAATACGTGGCAATCATGAATCCCGTCAGATTACGCAAGTATATGGTTTTTATGATGAATGTTTAAGAAAATATGGTTCTATTATGGTATGGCGATATTGCACAGAAGTATTTGATTATTTAAGTTTATCAGCTGTTATTGATGGAAAAATATTTTGTGTACATGGTGGCCTTAGTCCATCTATAAATACACTTGATCAAATACGACAAATTGATCGAAAAATGGAAGTACCACATGATGGTCCAATGTGTGATCTTTTATGGTAAAATTTTGTTCGAAAAAAAAAAAACAAAAAAACATTATTCTTTAATTGTTTTTTCAAATAATTCTTTTAGGTCTGATCCTGAAGAAACGCTTGGTTGGGGTGTTAGTCCACGTGGTGCTGGATTTTTATTTGGTAGTGATGTTGTATCACAATTTAATCAAACAAATAATATTGATTTAATTTGTCGTGCACATCAACTTGTTATGGAAGGTTATAAATGGCATTTTAATGAAACAGTTTTAACTGTATGGTCAGCACCAAATTATTGTTATCGTTGTGGAAATGTTGCCGCTATACTTGAACTTGATGAACATCTTAATCGTAGTTTTACAATATTTGAAGCCGCACCACAAGATCAACGTTCATCAGCAACAAAACGCGTTGTACCCGATTATTTTCTTTGAAATAATAACAATTTATGATAATCTAAATGTATGTGATTATGAGTGTGTTTGTGTGTGTTTGTGAATGTGTCTTTTTTTCTGTCCTGTATGATCGGCTGTTCGTTTGAACAAAAAAAAAAAAAAAAAACAAATCACGACACTAAGAGTATGTCAATATAAATGTTTCTTTTGTTGTTTTTTGTCTGTAATTTTCATCATTTGATTATTATATATTCTAAGACAAAGTGAAGGTCAAAATTTCTATATACTGATTGATGATGTATTTCTCATGAGAATAGCAAAAATAGAATAGATTGATTTTTTCGCATTATCTTCGTTCTCGAACTCTAATGATAAAAATACGACAGGAAGCTGAGCGAAAGTATCTTCTTGCTTTTTTTTTTGTTCCACATTCGTAATCAATTCTCAGCTAGTGGCCTTAACGTCATCATATATCTATATGCATAAAAATCTTTTCATAATAGAAATCCTTTGTTGTTTTTCTATTTGTTAGTAAAATCGAAACGTGTTCAGAAAAAATTCTTTACCATAGTGCACTTGATAATTAAGCTTTAAAAGAAAAACAATACATTCAGTCATTTGTTTTATTCAATTTTTTGTTATATCTATATGAATGGTAGCAAATGAGTGATTCAAAAGACGAAGAATATTCATTCAATAAAATCTTCTTTGACATCAATCAAATTGAATTAGGATGATGAAAGAAAGAAGAAAAAAACCATCATCTTTTTTTTTTGTTGTTTTTTTTTCTACAATATAAAAGACGATTACTATTGCGTGCATCGTATCGTAGATTAGATTTTATTGATTAGATTCAGTCGAGTACCTAATCATTTCCTACTCATCATCAGACATTCTTATATATATATATATATATATTTACTTTTGATAACATTATTGCACGTCAGTAAGTCATAAAACAAAAGTTATTGGTATAGCAAAATAACACGAACAAAAAAAAGAAAATAATCCGATTATGATTTTATCTTTGTTTCAGATGATTGAACCATGAATACATTATCAATACGTGATCTTTGTTGCCTTTTTTGTTGTCCACCTTTACCATCACGTATAGCTGCAAAACTCGGTAAAAATTTATATTAAATTTAATATAAAAATTTATGTATATATTTTTTTATATTAGCTTTTCTTCCACCAGAACCAACTTATTCATTATTAGTGACTGATAATTCAATATCAACTAATGGTACACATAATCAAATAGAATCAACATCATCGAAAAATGTTCCAACTGATTCATCTACATCTCCTCGATATACAATATTCTTTTCGGATAAAGCTGAATGGCAACATTCAACAAATGAAATTTCTAAATTAGAGTCATATTTTGTAATAACATCTCGTCATAATCGTATTGCTTGCATTTATGTTAATTGTACACCAAATCCAAAATATTATATTTTATTTAGTCATGGCAATGCTGTTGATCTTGGTGAATATAATTTTCTTTAAAAAACAAAATCGCAATAAATTTCTCTTCAAAGGTCAAATGGCTAGTTTTTTTATTGTTTTGGGTTCACGTTTACAGTGTAATATATTTAGTTATGATTATTCCGGTTATGGTGTATCACAAGGAAAAGCAAGTGAAAAAAATATGTATGCTGATATTGAAGCAGCATATAATTCTATTAAACAACGATATCATATACCCGAATCGAAAATTATTCTCTATGGGCAAAGTATCGGTAAGACAAAATTGAATTGTTTTTGATGTTGATGGATTTGAACCGCCTGTATTAGTTATAGAGCCCAAACCGACCCAACCTATGAGACTACCCAGTCAAACAAAAATTTTGAAAAACGCGTTTAAACGCACAATCGGGAACCGCGATTGTAAGCCATTAATGCTCATTAAAAGAAAGCACGAAAACGCGTTTGTTGGCGTTTTTTGTAACTTTATGGGCGTTAAAACGGCGAAAACTCCAATTTTGGAGCGTTAAAACGTATTATTTTTAAGTTCTAGAATAATAGTGCGTTTTAACGCTCAAAAACGAGAATTGTCGCCGTTTTAACGCCCATGAAGTTACAAAAAACGCCAATAAACGCGTTTTCGTGCGTTTTTTTTTGAGCGCTAATGGCTTACAATCGCGGTTCCCGATTGTGCGTTTAAACGCGTTTTTCAAAATTTTTGTCTGACTGGGTAACTCTTATTAGTAATATATATTCTGAAATTGTTTTCTTCTCGGTTAACTTGACTTTGCATAGAATATATTCTCTATAATCGTTTCTAGCTGGAAGTGAAAGCCGTAAGCGCTACCGCCAGTAGTGTGAACAAGCGGGTGTCATGCACTTCTTCTGAAGAAGAACTTAAAAATTTCGAGAGGATCAACTTGATCTTGAAAAGGATACCGTAGTCATGTTGGATAAAGCACTAGTCAAAAATCATTGATGACTTCATATATATATATATTTATTTATAGGTACTGTTCCAACAATTGATTTAGCTTCACGTTACAATGATTGTTGTGTAGCATGTGTATTACATAGTCCATTAACATCAGGCATGCGTGTAGCATTTCCGGAAACGAAACGAACATGGTGTTGTGATGCATTTCCTTCAATAGATAAAATTCATCGAATACGTTCAATTGTTTTAATTATACATGGAACAGACGATGATGTTATTGATGTAAGTCATGGTTTTGCACTTTATAATCGAATACATATGCAACATCAAACTGAACCATTATGGGTTGATGGTGCTGGTCATAATGATATTGAAGTAAAAATTAATTTTTTATTTTAAAATATAAATCATTATTTTCATTTATTTTAAGGCACATGGTCAATATGTTGAAAGATTATTACGATTAATTGATGTCGACATTCCACAAATATATTTAAAAAAACAAGAACAAACACAACAACAACAACAAGAACCAGCAACATCAGCTCCATCAACACTAGCATCAACACTTATTATACCAGCATCAACAACTAATGGAACAAATTAATAGACTAGTATATAAAAGTTATATTTGATAAAACTCTTTATCGTTGTGAAAATTGAACAATTGATGAGTGTGCAATGTTTATCTATACTTTTTGTGCTTTTCCATTAGGTCAATATATATATTTTTAACAAATCAATGATCGATTTCTATATATATATATATATATGTATGATCTAGTTTAAACCACAGCAAAGAAAATTTTATTGTGCTTATGATCATTTTTTTCTTTTTCTTTTTGTAAACTGACAAAAAGAAGATGATGGGTGATGTATTTGTTTATGGGTTTTTTTTTGTATAACTGTGAATGAAGATGAGAACAAAAAAAACGACAGATTAAAATAGTATATTATGGTTAAATATGAAATAATATTTAAATGCATTCTTCAAGTATCATGAAACTATTACTTATATAAAAAAGAAGAAGAAGAAGAAATATATCAATCGATTGCTTCCGGAAAAGTTTTTCGATTTCATAGATTGATTATTGTATACAAAATGATAGAACTCACGAGAGGACATTCTCAGCTAATCAAAAACTATTGGGTTCTCGACCGTGGTAATTTCCAATATGACCATAAAAAAATCCTCCGTTGATCTTTATATACTGATTTTTTAGACTATAAAATTTTTCTGTAAGCTTATTTTTTAATCTATCTAGATTATAGAGTATTTCGAATTGTTTTTCGTTGCTGAAAATACAACTGTTTTATTTATACAACAGATTTCAATGTCAAAATCTTATAGTATTTTACAATTCATTTTTCGGAAAATAGAAAAGATTATTGATCGATAGACAATTCGATATGATCTTTAATCTGAATCAGAGCTGCCAACAGGCCAGTTTTTTTCAGCCTGGCCTGGCCTGGTCGCCTGGCCTGACCAGACCAGTACGAATGGCAGGCCAGGCTAAGAATAAGGTGTTTGGCCTGTGGCCTGACCTGGCCTGCTCTGATCCGGCCTGGCCTGGCCTGCTGGCTTTTGAGAGACCAGAACAAGTTTATCAAATACTTTGCTACTTTCATGGATGAAATTGTACAATATGCATCAGACTTTTTTTTATTATCGCACCCTCGTCGTGGTCACATATTTCTTCTCAATTAAGATGATGAAATTGCGAACTTTTCCAAGAAATAGAAAATCAACAGATATACTGCTGAGAAAAAATTGTCTTGCATATTGAGAGAATTATTCCTTCAAAGCCGTTCTACTTTCATCAGGGCTGCTCCATAGCAGTGAAAAACATATACTGTGATAAATATACCATAAAAATTGAAAAGTAGCAAACAGTATTAATCCAGGTCAAAAATGTTTGCTGTTTGACTTCGTTGGCT